GCCTCTCTGCTCAGCCGGGAGCCTGCTTCCCCCTCTCTCTTTGCCTGCCTCTCTGCCTACTTGTAATCTCTGTCTGTCAGATAAATAAATAAAATCTTAAAAAAAAAAAAAAAGACAATCCAGTTTCTTAAATGGGCAAAGGATCTGAGTAGACATTTCTCCAAACAGAATATACATAAATGGCCTATAAGCACATGAATAGATACTCAACATTAGTAGTCATTAAGGAAGTGCACATCAGGGGCACCTGGGTGATTCTGTGCGTCAAAGCCTCTGCCTTTGGCTCAGTCATGATCTCATGATCCCAGGGATCTGGGATCGAGCCCTGCATCAGGCTCTCTGCTCAGCAGGGATCCTGCTTCCTCCTCGCTCTCTGCCTGCCTCTCTGCCTACTTTGGATCTCTGTGTGTCAAATAAATAAACTGTTTTTAAAAAAAATACATTTAAAGGAAGTGTTCATCATAGCCACAGTGAGATACCAGTTCATACCCACTAGGATGGCTGTAGTCAAAAAGATGGACAAATAACAAGTATTGGTGAGAATGTAAAAATGGTGTGGCCACTTTGGAAAATAGTTGGCAGTTTCTCAAAAAGTTAAATGTAGTTATATGATTCAGCAGTTCTTCTAACTATATACCCAGAACATGAAAACAGTTCACACAAAATACCCTGCTCAAATGCAGCATTATTCATTATAGGTCCCAAATGGAAATAACCTAAGCTGTTGAATGGATAAACAAAAGGTGATAGACACAGCTGCACAGTGGAATATTACTGAGCCATTAAAGGGAACGAGGGGTGCCTGGGAGGCTCAGTGGGTTAAAGCCTCTGCCTTCAGCTCAGGTCATGATCCCAGGGTCCTGGGATTGGGCTCCCTGCTCAGCGGGGAGCCTGCTTCCTAGTTGTTCTCTGCCTGCCTCTCTTCCTACTTGTGATCTCTGCCTGCCAAATAAATAAATAAAATCTTTAAAAAAAAAAAAGAAAACCTTGTTTCCCTTTAAAAAAGGGGGGGGGGCCTGGGTGGCTCAGTCGTTAAGCGTCTGCCTTCAGCTCAGGTCATGATCCCAGGGTTCTGGGATCGAGCCCCGCATCAGGCTCCCAGCTTGGTGGGAAGCCTGCTTCTCCCTCTCTCACTCCCCCTGCTTGTGTTCCCTCTCTCGCTGTGTCTCTCTGTCAAATCAATAAATACAATATTTAAAAATATATATATATTAAAAAATAAAAAAGGGGGGGAATGAAATACTTTAATATGAATAACCTTGAAAATGTAGTGCTAAATGAAAGAAGTCAGATGCAAAAGGCAACATATTATATGACTCCATTTATATGAAATTCCAAAATTGGCAATTCTCTAGTGACAGAAAATAGATCTGTGGTTACCAAGGCTGGGGGAGAAGAGAATGGGGAGTAACTACTAATGGGTATAAGATTTCTTCTTGCATGGGCACCTGGGTGGCTCAGATGGTTACGCATCTGACTTCGGCCCAGGTCATGATCCTGGGGTCCTGGGATTGAGCCCTGCATTGGGCTCCCTGCTCAGCAGGAAGCCTGCTTCTCCCTCTCCTGATGCTTGTGTTCCCTCCCTCGCTGTGTCTCTCTCTCTCTCTCTCATATAAATAAAATCTTAAAAAAAAAAAAAAAGATTTCTTCTTGGGATGAAGAACATGTTCTGGAATTAAATAGAAGTGATAGTTGCACAAACCGTGCAAATATACTAAAAACTTCTGAAGTGTATACTTTATATGAGTAATGTGTATGTTATGTGGATATCTCAGTAAAGCCTTTTTTTTTTTTAAAGATTTTATTTGTTTATTCGACAGAGAGAGATCACAAGTAGACAGAGAGGCAGGCAGAGAGAGAGAGAGGGAAGCAGGCTCCCTGCTGAGCAGAGAGCCTGACGCGGGACTCGATCCCAGGACCCTGAGATCATGACCTGAGCTGAAGGCAGCAGCTTAACCCACTGAGCCACCCAGGCGCCCTTTTTTTTTTTTTTTTTTTTTTTAAAGAAGGTGTCAGGGAGGGGCACCTGGATGGCTCAGAGGGTTGAGCCTCTGCCTTCAGCTCAGGTCATGGTCTCAGGGTCCTGGGTTCGAGCCCCGCATGGAGCTCTCTGCTCAGTGGGAAGCCTGCTTCTCTCTCTCTCTCTCTCTCTCTGCCCGCCTCTTTGCCTACTTGTGATCTCTCTCTGTGTCAAATAAATAGTAAAATCTTAAAAATAAAAAAGGTGTCAGTAATAAAATTCTGGATTGTTTTTACAATTCCTTTTGTTCTTCAGAATCTATCACTCAGCATTTAGAAATTACTTATATCGTTCTGACTGATCATACAATTTGCTTTGGAAAGAAATATTATATAGGAAAATAAATTGCTGCTTACTTCTGAGCTGTGAATGATGTGAATTTAATGATAGAGGTTTCTTACTCTATAAATTGTATGTTTTTCAACTCCTGTTTAGCTCATTTTAACTCCATTTATTCCTCTTATCTCTGGATTTTAAGGCAATGTAAGTAAACATAAAAGAATAAAGGGATACATCAAGACCTTCAGATTTGTTAAACAGAACTTATTGTGAGAGAAGCTGCTGAATCTCTTCCCTTTATTTAATCAGTTTATGGCTATGGTACCTAGTTTATTTGAGAGCAGACTTTGAGGCAGGGAACTACTTGGTTAATTCTTTTATAGGCTTATTAAGCCTAAGGATTCTGATTGCCTTTTCATCCCCTGAAAGCAGAACTTTGTAAAACCCATGAATGGTCAGAATTTCTCTAAGAAAAGATTTAATAAGAATGTAGAGATCAGGGCGCCTGGGTGGCTCAGTGGGTTAAGCCGCTGCCTTCGGCTCAGGTCATGATCTCAGAGTCCTGGGATCGAGTCCCGCATCGGGCTCTCTGCTCAGCAGGGAGCCTGCTTCCCTCTCTCTCTCTCTCTGCCTGCCTCTCCGTCTACTTGTGATCTCTCTCTGTCAAATAAATAAATAAAATCTTTAAAAAAAAAAAAAAAAAAGAATGTAGAGATCAGGAGTACCTGGGTGGCTCAGGTCGTTGGGGGTCTGTCTTCGGCTCATGTCATGGTACCAGGGTCCTGGGTTCGAGCCCCAGGTTGGGCTCCCTGTTGCCCAGGGTGTCTGCTTTTCTCTCTCCCTCTGCGGCTCCCCCCCCCTGCTTGTGCTTACTGGTGCTGTCTCTCTCCTTCAAGTAAATGGATGAAATATTAAAAAAAAAGAATGTGGAAATCACTTAAAATAATTTATTAGAATTAGAATTCATTGGAGTTATTAGAAAGATTCATAGAAAGTGGATGGGAGGTATAGAAAAAACAAAATTGGCCACAGTTAATAATTGTTGAAGCTGAGTGATGGGTACCTGGGGGTTCATTATGGTATGGTATTTTTATATGTATTTTAACTTCTGCATAATAAAACATTTAAATTAAAATGGTAAATTGCCAGTATAATTAGCAGAGATGGCACTTGTAATTTTTTATCTGTGTCAGCCTTATAATCACTAGTCAGCTGGCCTAGTAACTATGAGGTCTAGTTCCTGATGGGCACTCATTTTCTGGATAAAAGTGGGACAAACCGGGGTGCCTGGGTGGCTCAGGGGGTTAAGCCTCTGCCTTCGGCTCAGGTCATGATCCCAGGGTCCTGAGATCGAGCCCCATATGGGCTCTCTGCTCAGTGGGGAGCCTGCTTCCCTTCCTCTCTCTGCCTGCCTCTCTGCCTACTTGTGATCTCTCTCTGTCAAATAAATAAATAAAATCTTTAAAAAAAGTGGGACAAACCATTGTTGGCCCATTAATAGCCACCTATATTACTCACTCCAGTGGTCTAGCTTTGTAGCTAACTGCAGTGACTCCATCTGTCAAAGTAGGACATACAGTTCATAGGAACCCATCCCATTCTGGTTATTTAAGGTAAAAAGTTGAGGCAGTATCTTGCTTGAATCTCTGATTTAGGTATATTGATGCTCAAATTTTCCGTGTGGTTTTGGAGTATTCTCTGTAAATCGAGAAACTTAGTATTAATGACTTTTTTGCCAAATGTAGTAAATAGACTTTAAAACATTTAGGGGCACCTGGGTGGCTCAGTCAGTTAAGCCCCTGCCTTCGGCTCAGGTCAGGATCTCGGGATCCTGGGATCGAGCCCCATGTCGGGCTCTCTGCTCAATGGGGAGCCTGCTTCTCCCTCTCTCTCTGCCTGCTGCTCTGCCTACTTGTGATCTCTCTCTCTCTCTCTCTGTCAAATAAATAAAATCTTTGGAAAAAAAATAAAACATTAAGAACCTAAAGTGGTTCAATAGTAGTCAATTTATTGATATTTATTTTTGAAGGAACTATTATCTTCTGAAGTCATACCTTTTTTACTGAATGTTGGTTAGTTTTTGACCAAGTCTTTTCTTTATCGGTTCTGATGTCAAAAAAGAGAAAGAGGAGTTAACCTGCCAATCTCTGTGTTCCCATACCCGTAAAAGACAGTGGTTGTTTAGAGAATCTGTTAGATTTCTGAGCTTTGACTCAATAGAAAGAGGTGCCATTCTTTAGATTCTGTGTGCTTGCTGAATTAATGTTTGTTGATAAATATGCCACTTTTAAAAAGATTAAAAGTGAATTAGCTAACAACAAATTGTATTCTGACAAAATAAGTTTTACCTAGTTAAAATATGGAAAAAGAAATTATATGTTACTTTGTTTTGTTAATTTGGTGTCGAGAGATTACGTTAAATCATATATCAATATTGTCAGAGTCAAAATGGTAGCCTTGTAGAAATCTCACTTCTAGGTTCATGACATGAACCCTATCTGCAGTTTTTCTGTTAGTTGTAGATTTGGGTAAAGCTTACATTTTTGGTGCATTTGGTGATGTTAAACCTAAGGTGAGTGTGGCAGTCTTGGATATTTTGTTATCTGGGATACCATTTCTTATCTGAGACTGTACTGTTACTTATAAAGTGTGGGTTTATTTTTTCTTACATTTTTTTTTCTTTCTTCCTTTTACCCTTCAGCTGGCAATTCTTTGGTCCAACAAGGTGGACAGCCACTCATCCTAACCCAGAATCCAGCTCCAGGTCTTGGCACAATGGTTACTCAACCAGTGTTGAGGCCTGTCCAGGTCATGCAGAATGCCAATCATGTGACCAGTTCTCCTGTGGCCTCACAACCAATATTCATCACTACACAGGTGAGTTGGACGCAGTTCTGGTGCTGGGTAGGGAAAGAGAGAAAAATACTGAACCATTAGAGGCTCTAACTTAGAACTCTAAGTCCTATCTTTTGACCTGGCTTTCTCATTTGCTGTTCTTTAATTTGATACTGATTTTTAAAGAAAGCCAAATGTAACGCTCCTGGTTAATTTCCTCTTCCTGTCCTTTAGTGGGCTTTTAAGTGATTTGATTGAGATCTGGGCAGAAATTAGTAGGAAAGCTTCCGTTAGGAAGCCTTAACACTTGGTCCTTAACACTTCCTGCCCTTTGCTTGGGCTGTTTTTCTTAAAATGGGTTGAGTTAGCTGACTCTTGAAATCTGTGTGTGAAATTGGTAAAGTGCAGGGAGATCTTTGGAAGAGAAGGAGGAAGATGACTTATTTGACATAGAACGTGAGTTATGTGACATATAATGTGAGTCGAAGTTGAAAGCCTAATGCTGAATGTGGAACATAAAGGCAAGTGTTTCTCCCTGCCTGTGGCTTCCTGAGTTAGAAACTCTTTTCTTAAAAGTTTGCCAGAGGTTTACGGCCTTTGAAGTGGACTTTGGGAACAATTTCTTAACAATTGTTTTGTGCTGGGCACCTGGGTGGCTCAGAGGGTTAAGCCTCTGCCTTCAGCTTGGGTTATGATCTCAGGGTCCTGGAATGGAGGCCCACATTGGGCTCTCTGCTCAGCGGGGAGCCTGCTTGCTCCTCCCCCTCTGCCTGTCTCTCTGCCTACTTGCGGTCTCTCTCTGTCAAATAAATAAATAAAATCTTTAAAAAAACAACAACAACAAAAAAAACAATTGTTTTGTGTTGAATCACTCCAGTGAATATTCCTGGTGCCTTTTTTTTTTTTTTTTTTTTTTTTTTTCCCCCTTCTTCTGTGCCTTTATCTCTTTAGGGGCCAGTTTGTGGATGAGGTATTTTTTAAGCTGAGGTTCTTTTAAGAGGAAGTATGTTTTCCTTTTTGCTCATATGTACTAAAGCTTATTCTTCAATTTTGATATTTTGTCACTCAAAAGTTTGCCAAAATTCCTAGATTTCTCCATCTCAGTCATTTAAAAGTTACACCTCTAGAAAAAGAACCACTAGGTAAGACTGAATTTTTTAAGATGTAGTCTTATTGCAATCTCTGCTAGTGTTAGCTGATCTCCATGTTAAAGATCATTTTGCTTTTTAATGCAGGGATTTCCTGTAAGAAATGTCCGGCCTGTACAAAATGCAATGAATCAGGTTGGGATTGTGCTGAACGTACAGCAAGGCCAAACGGTTAGACCAATAACACTAGTCCCAGGTAAGGAAAAATGTCTACCCATTCAGAATAAACTGGCATCCGGAAGATTTGTTTTTCTTGTTTCAAAATATCCTTCTTGGTCATTTAAAAAGTGTGTTTAAGGAAAGTCTAAAAATACAAAGATCATACTGATTTAAGCTCCATTTTTTAAGCTCAATTTTTTAAAAACTTTCTAACCTTTGACCAGGTTGGTGGTTTTATTCTTCTTTTTAACTTTTTACCACCCTTCAAACAGGGTTTATATAGTCCTTTTTCTGCTTCTGGTGTTTTAGTCAGCTATTAAGTTTATTATCCTGAAGGAATATTATTAATAAAAACTCCCAAATGGCACATTTCTTAATAAGTCTACTCACTTACATGGTGGGACTATAAACTTTATTTTGCTTTAATTTTATAGCATAGATTTTTGGATATAAAACAAATGACCTATCATTTGATGATAAATTTGCCAATGACTAATTAGTAGGTTTTTTTTAAAGAAACTAAATTAAAATACTTTTTTAAAATCTTGTGATTTTCCTCCACAGTTCTTTATTTAGTTCCTGTAAGTTTACTGCAATTCAGGCCAAAAAACATCTTAATTAAATTGTTCTTTGGGTGCTTCCATAAGCTGGTCTTCCTAAGTTTTTGTTGTTGTTCTCAGAGCCCACACAGTGCTTTTGGCCTTAAGTCTAATAAATTTAACTTACCTAGTTCTGATATTTCTTACATATTTGTCAATGGAATTGTTTACAGCTGAGCCAGGAGATTCACCTCTGGGATGCTAGTAGAATGACATAGTCAGTTTTCTGTTTGACTTCATATGAAAGACTGGAAGACTCCTTTAGTATCCTGAGAGAGAAAGTTGGCTTTTTTTTAGAACTACATCTGCCCTTTGGCCTTATATATATGCACACTGCCTCCTATCTCTACTTATCCTTCCTCTTCCAGTATTGAGGTCCAGCTACTCCTGATTAAATTCTTGGGATAAAAAAGGCAGTGTGGTAAGGTGTTGTGGGAGGAATTGATAGGAATCTTCTTTCTTCAATTTAATAGGGCTGATTCCTTAGTATAAGATCTTTTATCATCTTGGATATGTATTGTCTTAGACATTAGAGTGTGTGCTACTCTTGTTAACCTTTGATGGCCACCAAACACTTTGGGGCAGTAACCTTTTCTTATTCCAGTATTTTCAGTAAAGACAGGTAGAATGTATGAGAGGTGAGCTTATTGACCAAGCTTTGGTACTTTTCTTTGTCTCTTTTTTTGAAGCCCCAGGTACCCAGTTTGTTAAGCCAACAGTTGGAGTCCCACAGGTGTTCTCTCAGATGACCCCAGTGAGGCCAGGCTCCACAATGCCTGTGCGGCCCACCACCAACACCTTCACCACTGTCATCCCAGCTACTCTGACCATTCGGAGCACCGTCCCGCAGTCCCAGTCCCAGCAGACCAAGTCCACACCCAGCACCTCCACCACTCCCACTGCCACACAGCCGACCTCACTGGGGCAGCTAGCTGCTCAGCCTCCAGGCCAATCCAGCCAGACCCCCAATCCCAAGCTAGGTGAGCCCTGGGAAGTGGAGATGGCAGTGCTGGGCGGGGCAGTGGGTGGAGAACAGATGATTTTCACTTGGCCAACATAGCTCCCTCCTTCCCCTCTCCACCTGCAGTGAGCATTGCCAGCTTTGTCACTGTGAAGCGACCTGGGGTTACAGGTGAAAATAGCAATGAAGTAGCCAAACTGGTGAATACCCTTAACACCATCCCTTCCCTGGGCCAGAGTCCTGGGCCAGTGGTGGTATCCAACAACAGCTCTGCCCATGGCTCCCAGAGAACCAGCGGACCTGAATCTTCAATGAAAGGTACAGTACTCTGAAAGATGGAGTATCCAGTCATTCAGAAACATTAATAGAGTATTTGTTACTTTAGCACTTTATGCTTTGAAATAGAGACATAAAACGTAGTTGCCACAGTTTGTTCTACCAAAAACTCTAGTGTAGGAAAGGGGATAGCCGCTGTGAAAAGTGTAACTAAATCAGCTGTAAGGAGATAATTCTGTGTTTCTTGTGCTGTGGAGATGAGTGAAATGGACCAGTTGATCAGAGATGGGTGGGATAATAATAAAAAGAAGCTTCACAGAGGAGGTAGATTTCTGCATAAGGTTTTAAAGTTGGGATGTACTAGAGAGGTTTTCAGGTGTAGACAAGATATGAGCTTAAGGATTTTCGATGGTCTAGAGCAGAGGTCGGCAAACTTTCTCTAGAGGACCAGATAATATTTTAGGCTTTGTGCACTAAATATGGTCTCTGCCCTTGTGGTACAAAAGCAGCCACAGGCAGTACACAATCAAATGAGCATGACTGTGTTCCACTAAAACTGTTTATGGTCTCTGAATTGTATGTAATTTTTTAAAAGATTATATTTATTTATTTGACAGAGATCACAAGTAGGCAGAGAGGCAGGCAGAGAGAGAGGGGGAAGCAGGCTTCCCACCGAGCAGAGAGCCCGATGCGGGGCTCGATCCCAGGATCCTGAGATCACGACCTGAGTCGAAGGCAGAGGCTTAACCCACTGAGCCACCCAGGCACCGCTGAATTATATGTAATTTTCATGTGTCAAAATACCTTCTTTAGCTTTCATTTCAACCATTTAAAAATGTAAAAACATTTAAGAAATGGCATCAGTCATCCACATCCAGTGAAGTTGGACCTAAACACCATATGTAAAAATTAACTCTGCAAACCAAAGACCTAAACATAAGAGCTAAAACTGTAAGAGAAGAAAACGGGAAAGCTTCATGGCATTGGATTTGGCAATGATTTCTTGCATATGACACCAAAAGAAAAATATAACAGTAGATATAGGAATAATAGATAAAACAAGACTACATCAAATTTTAAACTCTTAGGGTATCAAAGGACACTGCGAACAGAGTGAAAAAGCAGCCCAGTGAATGGGAAAAAATATTTGCAAGTCATATATCTGATAAAGGGTTAACATCTAGAATATATAAAGCATAACTCAACAATAAAAAAACAGCCCAATTAAAAACTGGGCAAAGGAGTTGAATAGACCTTTCTCAAAACAAGATAAATAAATGGCTGTTAAGCACATGAAAAGATGCTCACCATCACTGATGATTAGAGAATTGCAAATCAAAACCATGTCGAGATACCACTTCACACCCATCAGGATGGCTCTTATCCAAAAAAACAAAATAACAAGTGTTGGTGAGGATGTGTAGATATTGGAACCCTTGTGCATTGCTGGTGAAAATGTAAATTAGTATGATGGTCTCTCGAAAAGTGAAGTATAAAATTACCATCTGACTCAGCAATTCTGCTTTTGGGTTATGACCCAAAAGAATTGAAAGCAGGTCCTCGGGCAGATACTTGTACACCCATGTTTATAGCAGCATTATTCACCATAGCCAAAAAGTGGAGGCAGTCCAAGTGAGCATCAAATGAATAAATAAACAAAATATGGTATATACATAAAGTAGCATATTGTTCAAGGAAGGAAATTCTTACAAATGCTGTAACATTCATAAATTTTGAGGACATTCTGCTAAGTACTGAACTAAGTTGGTCGCAAGAGGACAAATACTGTATAATTACACTTAATATGAAGTACCTAGAGGAGTCAAAATTAGAGATGGAAAGTAGATCGGAGGTTGCTAGGGACTGAGAGGAAGGAGGAAGGGGAATTGTTAAATGGATAGAGTTTCAGATTTACAAGATGAAAAGAGTTCTGCTTGTACAACAATGCGAATGTACTTAACTATACCCTTGAAAATGGTTAAGAGGTAAGTTTTATGTATGTCTTACCTCAACTAAAGAAAAAGTTGTATAACCACCAAAAAAAGTAAAATCCATTCGTAGCTCAGGGGCCAAATAGAAATTTGGCTGGATTTTGTCTAGAAGCTGTGATTTGCTGACCCCTGGCCTAGAGTTAAAAGAATGGTCCTCAAAGTGATCATTCATGCTTGCCTATCAACCTTAATATGCCCCTTCACGGGCTGTTTAACATTTCTTCAAAGGGCCAGTAATCTGTTTCTAGTATCATCTCGTTAATCTTATCAATGCTTCTTACTTCTTCCAGTGACCTCTTCTTCCATCCCAGTGTTCGACCTCCAGGATGGTGGACGGAAAATATGTCCACGGTGTAATGCTCAATTCCGTGTTACTGAAGCTTTGAGAGGTCACATGTGTGTAAGTGATAGTTTTGATGGGGATCTGGCTTCAGTGGCTACCACTGCATACATCCTCTAGGATTAGGAGCATGTGAAGCAGGGACTCTGAAATGACTTAGAAGTTTCTTAAAGGGTTATGCTCCTTTCTGGCCTATTTTAGAAGAGTTTCATACTTTGGAATGTAGAAGGATATTTTAAAGACTCTCAAGTAGATTGGAACATATGCAACCTTAATTCCTTGGTTGTGGTTGATTTTGAAACTACACAGGAGCACAGGAGGACAGGTTTGTTAGATAATCAACTCAAACCAAGTTGACCTTGGTTTATTTTCTTCTTCCTTTTTTTTTAAAGCTTGCTTGCTTTATTTATTTATTTTATTTGACAGAGAGAGAGAGAGAGAGAGACAGCCAGAGACCACAAGCAGGGAGAATGGCAGAGGAAGGAGAAGCAGGCTCCCCGCTGAGCAGGGAGCCCTACATGGGTCTTCATCCCAGGACCCTGGGATCATGACCTGAGTGAAAGGCAGACACTTAACCAACTGCGCCACACAGACACCTGTATTTTTTTCTTTTGTAAGATTTTATTTGAGGGACTGAGAGAGACCATGAGCAGGGAGAAGGACAGGCAGACTCCCTGCTGAGTGGGGAGCCCAATGCAGGGCTCAGTCCCAGGACCCCAAGATCATGACCTGAGCTGAAGTCAGATGCTTAACCGACTGAGCCACCTAGGTACCCCTCAGTTTATATTCTGTTTATTGTCTTTGGATGAACCAGGAGTCATTAACCAGTTCTCATTTCTAGCCTTTTCATTTTTTTGGTGTTAGTTCAGACACAAAGATTGGAATTTCTTCTTGCTGGGGAATTCAGAGGCAAGTTACACTAGTAAGTGGTTGAAGTATCCAAGGCAGGAAGGAGAAATACAAGATACTGGGTTAGGAGAGGCATGTGGCTATAAATAAATATCCATTAGAAAAAGCCATAATCCTAGAAACACTATAGAACACTGAAAGGTGAAACCTGGGTGAGAATACCTGGAACCAAACCATTCTCAAGAGATGTTCATGAGGTTGGGGAGTTGGCATATCCCAGCCACCAAGATAACTACAGTGATTTTCCTTTATAGTACTGTTGTCCAGAAATGGTGGAATACCAGAAGAAAGGGAAGTCTGTGGATTCAGAACCCAGTGTCCCATCAGCTGCAAAGCCCCCATCCCCTGAGAAAACAGCTCCTATTGCTTCCACACCCTCTTCTACACCTATTCCTGCTCTGTCACCGCCTACCAAAGTACCAGAGCCAAATGAGAATGTGGGTGATGCTGTCCAGACCAAACTCATCATGCTAGTAGACGACTTCTACTACGGACGGGATGGTGGCAAAGTGGCCCAGCTCACAAACTTCCCTAAGGTTGCCACATCTTTCCGATGCCCACATTGTACCAAAAGGCTAAAAAACAATATTCGGTAAGTGTTGAAGAGCCTCAGCAGTTACCCTGGATGAGAAATTTGTCTTTTCTCTTTGGGCAGTAGTCCTGTTATCCAATCTAAGGATTATCATTAAATCAATAAGTGGTACTACAGAAGGAGGAGGTATTGTGGGAATAATAAGAGATAACTTTGGGTGGGGTAAGGGAAACCAGTACATCTTTCCACAGAACTCTTAGTTTCAAGAACCCTTTTCTGGGCTCAGAAAAGGACTGTCCCAAACAAGGCAGGGGGTGGTACATAATATGTGTTCTGGGATTCCCAGGCTGCTGATTTTTTTGTTTTCTCTACTTCTTGTGCTCTGCCACAGATTCATGAACCATATGAAACATCATGTAGAACTCGATCAGCAGAACGGTGAGGTAGATGGTCATACTATCTGCCAACACTGTTACCGCCAGTTTTCCACGCCCTTCCAGCTCCAGTGCCACTTGGAAAATGTTCATAGTCCTTATGAATCGACTAGTAAGTTTGGAAATTCTTAAACTGTAGGGGTATGCTTTGTTCTTCACTGAAGGCACTGGGAAGAGCCCATCATTCTGTATGAATATCAGTTTAGAGGAAGCCCTTTGCACATTTCTAATCAATTCCTTACTTCACTCACCCTTTATTCTTAGAACTTAGACTTCTCTTTAAGCCTGAATTGAATTCAGTGCTAGAATTGTTAGGGGCTTTGGTTCAGGACCACTGTAACGTGTTGTAATGTATACAATGTAATGCAGTGGGTGCCTTACCGAAATATCTATATTTGGACCTCCACTTTAGTTAGTACCCTGGTAGGTTTTACATAAGACAAAAGATAGCATTATAAACATAAAATACCATTAAGACAGTGCTTTCAGTGAAATGTATGATGAGGTGTGGAATGTCACCTTCACTGTACATCTAACAGATGAGGAAATACAGAATGAACACAGACTCACAAAAATTATGTCATTTACTTGAGAGCGTACATCTCTAGTAAGGTGCCATTGTGAGGATTTGAGCCCAGTCTTCCTGGAATATCTCCTGTGTCCTTCAGGGGATTTCCAGTTTTGTTGTACTAAGACAAAAATTATATAAAGGAAAATGAGGAAAAGACAGTATATTTATTTATAAACCTATGCATTGTATAATACCAGTGATAGGTGAAATAGTTTACAGAAAAGGTCATTGAGGCTAGATTTCCCAGAAAGTCATACTTAAACTTTTTAGGATTTTTATTTACTTTTTTTTTTTTTTTTTAAGATTTTATTTATTTATTTGACAGAGAGAGACACAGCGAGAGAGGGAACACAAGCAAGGGGAATGGGAGAGGGAGAAGCGGACTTCCCGCTGAGCAGGGAGCCTAATGTGGGGCTCTATCCCAGGACCCTGAGATCATGACCTGAGCAGAAGGCAGATGCTTAACGACTGAGCCACCCAGGCGCCCCTAACTTTTAAGGTCTTTAAATACAAGAAAGAAAATAAATAAATAAACACAAGAAAGATTTAGACAGATGAAAGTAATAAGAAAACCTTTTAGGTGATGGGAAACTGTATGAGCAAACACATGAAGAAATATGCATGTCATCTCTATGCTTTTGCTGCAGATTAAGAACCTTAACTAAAAATGAGTTAAACAATAAGGATATCCATTATATTGTTTAACTGAGAGGACTTGAGGTAGAGTAAACTTGTAGCCCAGAACTTGAGTGTTCTGCTATAGTTCTCTTGTCTCTGGCTTGTAGCAGGGTGGCTGTATTAATCTCAGGCATTACATTCAGGCACAAAATAGTGCAGACAAGGAATAGAGCGTATCTTCCCATGTCTTTCCAGAATCTGTTTCAGGAAAGCACTGCTTTCCCTTTGTAATTCTTTGGCTTTGGCAAGGGTAACGGGATTGCCATTCATGGCTTAGGCTAGTGTTGGTCTATAGAAATATAATGTGAGCTACATATGCAATTTTAATTTTTTTAGTAGCCATTTTTAAAAAGTAAAAAAAAGGTAATTTTAAAAGTTTTTTTTACAACTTCTTTTTTTTTTTTTATAACTGTTTATTGTTTCTTTGTTTTGTTGTTAAGTAAGCTCTACACTCCACATGCTTGAACTTAAAATCCTGAGATCAAGAGTTGCATGCTTTACCGACTGAGCCAGCTAGGCACCTCTGAAATTAATTTTAATAGTATAATTTATTTAACTCAGTATATCCAAAATATCACGTCAGCATGTAATCAGGATTTAAAAATTAATGAGATGGTAGAACTTTGTACTGATAATTCGGGAATAGACTAGATATTGGAATCAACCACTATGCATTTAGTGGCAGAGTAGCCAACTTGGTCTTGTTATAGAGCCCCAAAGTCTTCACTGTCAGTGACGGAAAATCTGAATAACTCATCTACACTTCCTAGTGAATGCATCTTATTTTTATACAGAATCTGGTGGATGGGCTTTTGTTAATTCCATTTATGTGTGGAAAGATAAGTTTTTCCTTATGGGGAAAGAAATTCTCAGAACCTCATCAATCCTTTTCTCTTCGCTTTTCACTCTTGTTATGTCTGACTTTTAATTTTTGAGTATCATGTGACTTAAAATTTATATTGATCAAAAAGCTGAGAAATTGTTAACCCAAAGAGGTAAATTACCTTTTTTATACTTCAGTATGTATCAGTTTTATTCTTGGATTCTTGTGTAAGTCCTCTTTCCCATACATATGGCAGATCCTGATAAAAGTAGCTTATTTTTTAATATTAGTATTTTTGGACCCATTGCTTTCTTTTTAATTTTGAAAAAAATTTTCCTTTTCTGAAGTTTTTTTTTTTTTTAACCTTTTTTTTTTTTTAAAGATTTTATTCATTTATTTGACAGAGATCCCAAGCAGACAGAGAGGCAGGCAGAGCAGGGTGGTGGGGGGAGCGGGGGTGTGGGCTCCCTGCTGAGCAGGGAGCCCGATGTGGGACTCGATCCTCAGGACTCCAGAATCATGACCTGAGCTGAAGGCAGTTGCCCAGCCAACTAAGCCACCCAGGAGCCCCTGAAGTGTTTTTAAATGAAATTACATACATAATGACATGTCACCCCAAATACTTAAGTATGTATCTCTAAAAAATAAAGACCTTTCTCTATATACAGCCATAATACCATTGTCAAAACCTAACAGAAGCAATCATAAATCCTTAATATCATCTATACCTAGTCCATTTTCAAATTGCCTGTATTGTCCCAAACATCAGTGGATCATGACACTTAAATTATCGTAATAGTATAATCTTAATAGCATTATGTTTTTCTTCACACTTGTTTAAGGGCAGTAGACTGAAGAAGAGGTAGAGCTGAGGGAAGGATGCTTCAGGCTTAACCATGGTCAAATGCTGGGGAGGATCCTGTGTGGAAAATGATTGAACAAAGAGGGAACTAATTGCTTGATAAAGTCTTGGGATAATAGGGAATAATGAGGTTGGCTGAACCTTAGGAAGGTATAAGATATCTATCCTTTCTTTCCTTTTTTTTTTTTTTTTTTTTTTTTTTAAGATTGATTTTTTTTAGAGAAAGAGCACACCCACGTGAGCAGGGGGAGGGCCACTGGGAGAGGGAGACAAGCAGACTCCCCACTGAGCAGGATGTGCCTGATCCAGAGCTCGATTCTAGCACCTGAGATGAAATCAAGAGTTGGATGCTTAACCAACTGAGCCAGTCAGGCGCGCCCCTATCCTTTCTTTCATAATTTGGAAAACAGAAAGCAGACTACTACAGACTACTACAGCAGAAGCTGTAGTAGTTCACTCCTGTTTTCTCAAACAGACTGTGTTAGGTGTCAAGGACATGAGGGTCATGGTGCTCGGAGGGACTGTGTTAGGATGGCTACTTTGCAAAATTAGTTAATTCTGTCTCCTGAATCTTTCCATACCAGCTCTGCTGTGGAACTAGAACAGATGCGGATGGTTAATAGAGATGTCTTAAATCCACTGATGACTTAGGTTTCTATCTCACTGGTTTTCTTGGTATGAGATAATACATAAAAATGTTAGCATGGTGTTTATGTGTTAGGAGCTTTAATTAGTGTTGTTGTTATTATTGATGTTGTATAACAGCTGTACCAAGAGAGCCGATATATTGGTTGTAGGAAGAGCTTCAAGGTTGAATGAAATTGCTCAAGGAGAACACAGAATAAGAAAGGTTAAGGCAGAAGGTTGGATAGCACCAATATTTAAAGGTGTTCTAGAAAAAAAAAGAAAAGCAATTAATGACAAATTGAATTAAAAGGCAAAGGGGGGGGAAAGGAGAAAATATTGTCTTTTTTTTTTTTTTAAAGATTTTCTTTATTTGAGAGAGAGAGTGTGTGTGCACACAAGCAGACAGAGCAGCAGGCACAGGGAGAGGGCTCCCTGCACGTGGGATTCAATCCCAGGACCCCAGGGTCATGACCTGAGCTGAAGGCAGACACTTAACTGACTGAGCCACCCAGGTGCTCCCAAAATATTGTCATTTTTAATTGACACTAGTTACTGTTTCCCAAACATGCCGTGCACTTCCATATCTCCTTGCCTTTGTTCTCTTCTTCTCTTGGTTGCTCTGTCTGGCAAACCCCTGTTCTTTCAATGTTCAGCTTATGTATCTTAGAGCTTCTCTTAATTCTTCTAGATGGAATTTTTTTATTTATTTGTGTCTTTGTAAGACCTAACAAATCTCTAGGCAGTGCTTCTTTTTTTTTTTTTAGCTTTTACTTACTTATTTGAAAGAGAGAGACACAGTGAGAGAGGGAACATAAACGGGGGAGTGGGAGAGGGAGAAGCAGGCCTCCCACTGAGCAGGGAACCCAGTGCAAGAATCCCAGGACCCTGGGATCTTGACCTGAGCTAAAAGCAGATGCTTAACAACTGAGCGACCCAGCCGCCCTCTAGGCAGTGCTTCTAAATGGGTTGCCATACCCCTTTGAGATAAACACAAACTTCTGAACCCTCTTCCCAGAAAGTAAACATTTTACTCTTCTGCAAATAATTTCAGGGGATACCAAGGTTCCCTAAGGCATCATCCATGGACCCCAGATTAAGAATCCCTGGTTTTTGTTTGTTTACTTTAAAGAATTATTTCAGCTTCACTCTTTTGGGGAACAGGGGTTGGATATTTTCCAGCAAATTCTTAAAGCTTCAAATTTACAATTTCTGCATCTGGAAAAACTTGAAAATAATTCCATTGACTATAAGAAAATTATTTTGTCTCTTTATTTCAAAATATGTAGCAATTCAAATTACTACCAAAAATTCAGAATTGCAGCCTTATAAACTTGACAGAATGCCAGTTTCAGAGTTTAATCATCTCAACAACTCATAACAAGGCAAGAACTTCTATTCATGATTGTCAGTCTTTTGAGGACAAATTCTTATTTAGGAGATATTTGGTAAATGTTTGGAATTATTCATAGGAGACGATCATTGTCTGTCTTTGATCTTAGGGATCAAATAGTGTAGTAATTTAAAATAACTCACTTGGAGGGGCGCCTGGGTGGCTCAGTGGATTGGGCCGCTGCCTTCGGCTCAGGTCATGATCTCAGGGTCCTGGGATCGAGTCCCACATCGGGCTCTCTGCTCAGCAGGGAGCCTGCTTCCCTCTCTCTCTCTCGTTCTCTCTCTCTGCCTGCCTCTCTGTCTACTTGTGATCTCTCTCTGTCGAATAAATAAATAAAAATCTTTAAAAAAATAAAAAATAAAAAATAAAATAACTCACTTGGCAATAGTATGTAAAGCATAGACACTGTATTTATTGGAGAGATGAGAGGTATTGGAAGCCACCTGATTAGTAGTAGGCAATCATGTGGGATTCTACCAAGTTTTTGTCTCTGAGAATGGAAAAATGACCATTCCTAGATACATTCTGAAATAATGGTGACAGAACCTAGGGGTGTATACTCAGAGATAGTGCCTAACTGTAGGAGGAGGTGGGGAAGTGAGAAGGGAAACAACCAGGAATCAGGAGGAGGTTGAATTAGAGTTGGTGGTAGAATATCCAATTAAAATGTCTTGTAGATAGTTCATAACCTAGAATGGAGCTTTATAGTAAGTCTGAGCTAGAGGCATAAGGTTGGTTGTTATCAGCAACACAGATGTTAAGACAGAACCATTTTAAAGAAGGAAGAGAGTTAATGATTTACTGACTATTGAAAGTGAAGATAGAGAAGTCAGAGAGAATAAAGATTATGAGTTAGCAGGACTTTGGTCTTACTTTCAGGTGGATTTATTGATTATTTTTCTTCTTACAGCCAAGTGCAAGATCTGTGAGTGGGCGTTTGAGAGTGAGCCACTATTTCTCCAGCATATGAAGGATACTCATAAGCCTGGAGAGATGCCTTATGTCTGCCAGGTATTGCCTTTTTCTCTAGGGAGCTTTAGCCATTTTGCCATTTTGCTCTCAGGCTGAATACCAAGAATCCATAAATGAACATTGCTGCATACCTACTGCATACACTCAGATTTAGGAACTCTGGGGAGATCCAGAAGAAATGATAAATCTAGGGTCTGTTTTCAGGATTTTCCATACTAGAGAAAAACATTAAAGGAACATGTGCATGTACCCAGCCAGGGAACCCAGTCAGAGAACAAACACATGTACTGCAGGAATGTGTCTCCAGAAGTGGCTCCGTAGAGATGGACAAAGAAGACTTTATTCCTCTTAGTCACAAAACGTATTCTTAGACTTTCTTGTCCATCCCCTATTTTTATCTTAATCCACAGCTGAATCTATCACAAACAGCCCTGCATTACAGAGTCAGAATAATAATTTGATTTCTGTACATTCAGGAAAACTTATTTTGACCTTTTTGTTGCTACCTCTTTTTTAAGGCCTCAGTTGTTCACTCTTAGCTTATTTTCCCTCTTATGTGACTCAGGTGTGTCAATATCGCTCCTCCCTCTACTCTGAGGTAGATGTCCATTTTCGGATGATCCATGAGGATACTCGGCATCTGCTCTGCCCTTATTGCCTGAAGGTCTTCAAAAATGGCAATGCATTCCAACAGCATTACATGAGGCACCAGGTACCAGGCACCAAGCAGTTCCCATATTCTCATTTTTAAAGTCTTATGGATGCTGGGGCCAGGGCTGAGCTAGGCAGATAATTTTGGTAGAGAAGATACTGTATATATGTTTGCAAAAATTTGCCAAATTGCAGTTATATGCCATGCACTGAGCTAGGTGCCGGGGATTTAGTGATATACAAGACCAGTAGTAGAGCATGGAGAATATTGTGTTGGGGAAGTATAAGATAAAGAAAAGCATATACCTATTTTGGGAGCCTGCTAAAGCTTCCTTGGAAGAAAAGTATTCAAGACCTGAAGTATGAGGAAGGGTGAGCCAAGTGAAGTGGGATGAAAGAAGAGTGTTCTCCAAAGCACAGAGTGACAGTATGGAGGTTCAAAGAATTAAAGGAAGTTCAGTATGGTTTGAATGTGGGCTACAAGGGGAAGGTTGGAAATTAGGAAACAGGTGATGGAGAATCCTGTAAGCCATGAAAAGGAGTTTCAACTTTATAAGTCACTGGGGAGGCATTAAAGGGATTTTTTAAGTCCTTGAGTGGTAAGTTCAAATTTGTTTTAAGTTATGATTATACTGGCTGCAATAGGAGAATGAATTGAAAGAGATCAAGACCAGAGTTAGGGGGACACACCAAAGGCTCTTTTGGTTTAGATGAGAGACAGTAGTGGCTTTTGGCTTTGAAATGAAGAAAGGATAGTGTTGAGAGATAACTGAGAAGGTAAGTGGTATTTATGATTTAGAGATGGATTTGGTAAAGGTAGTGAGGAAGGAGTTAGGAATAGTGCCTAAAATTCTGGCTCGGGAAAAATGGATGAATGGTGAAACTATGTGTTGAGATAGAAACACGGTAGAAAGAAAGGTTTGCGGCAGAAGTGGGGATTACATGTTTGGGTATTCTGAGTTAGCAGTGTCTGTGGACAGTAGCTATAGTTGTCTGTTAAACAGATTATCTAGGTCTGAAACCTGGGAGAAAAGCCTGGGTTGTGGAAAACATACTTAGGAATTATAATTATATAAATCAAGTGATTTTAAACATAGAAGTTGCCATGTTCCTTCACCCCCAATTAAGAATAAGATGAAGGCTAAATAAAAAAAAAAATAAATAAAAAAAATAAGATGAAGGCTTAGCACCTCTGAAGACTCTGTCTACAAATACAGTACCATAGTCCTAGGAGGAAATCCAGAAGAGACTTGATGTCAAGGAAGCTGAAGGGAGGAAAGTGTTTTGAAGTCAGAGGTATGATCTGAATGTTGCAGCACCATAGATGTCAAGCCATAGACACCAAGATGACAAGCACCATAGAAATTTAGAGGCCAGCCTTTAATTCAGCAACGTTGATAGGAGCCATGTGGTTGGTTAGGAGAGTGGAAGTCAGATTTCAGCAGGATGAATGAAAAAGAGGTGAGGAAATGGAGACAACTTATTTTTTAAAAGTTTCAGAAGGGGAAGATTGAGGGCTGGCACATCCAGGGAAAGAGGTAGCAGAAGAGAATTTGTTGCTTTTGTGTTTTGTTTTAAAGATGGAATAAATAGGGCCTTGTTTTAAATGCTGCAACAAAGGAGCCACTTAGAAGAGGAGAGTGAAGGTACATAGAGAAGGCACAAAATGGAGAAGGACATGGTTGCACCTGTGCTGAACACTTGCCTAGGTCTGCACACACGTGCCTGAACTCTCGTGTGTGAGCTCCGTCTTGGGCTCACACACTTAATTTGCATAGGGGTGACTGCCTATAATCCCCAACATGTGTATTGCAAAGAGCAGTTTGGAAATTGTCCCTTGTACTCAGGTAATGGAGCCTTGTTATCCTGGGAAGAAAACCATAGACCTGAGTCCTGTTTCTGAAGGACTTCAATACTAGGCAGTCTGAATCCTTAAACTGGTCTCACAGGAACAGGTGCATGTATATATATTGAAGTGTTAAGAGGAAAGATAGCAAGGAATAGAAAGGTATAGAAAAGGTATAGAAGAATACTGTTATTCATGTTAAGAAAGAAAAAGGACAAACAGGGAGGTCATGATTGGAGATGTGTGTGTGTTATGTGGCTATGTGCATAGACTGTCTGAAAGAATACCCAGAAAACTAGTAGCAAATTGTTTCTGTGCAAAGAGGTGGAGGGTTGGAATTGAAGGCCAACTTAAAATGTGAAGGCATATGGAATGAAAAGTGAGGATTTTTTTTTCCATCATGTACATTTTACTGTGTTTAAAAAAAGAAAGAAGAATGTCCAGAAGTAGGTAGCACTGTCTGCATTATAAAGACAAAGTAGGGGCAAGTTAAAGCTTAAGCCACTAATCCACATTGTTAAACCAAGTCAGGAAGAGATGGTTGGAGGACCTAGTTATCCTGGCTGTGAGTCTGCCTTTCTTTGGGACCATGGGACGTGATGATTCTCAATGGTAGGTTTGGTGTTGTGTATTTCTTCCTCTTTCAATTATCCACAGAAAGGGGGAAGGAATGATTGTTAGCATGAATCTGCCTTCTCATCAGGGAATAAAATTTATTGGGAATCTTTAAGGGATTTTCTTTCTTTCTCCCCCTTCAGAAGAGGAATGTTTATCACTGCAACAAATGCCGGCTGCAGTTTCTCTTTGCCAAGGACAAAATTGAACACAAGCTTCAGCACCATAAAACTTTCCGTAAACCCAAGCAGCTTGAAGGTTTGAAACCAGGCACAAAGGTAAAAGGCTTGTCACTGTATCTTTTATAGATCCAAGAGGAGGGGAATAGAGATTATCAGTATTCGAGATTTAGCATGGCTGGTGTCTAATTTTTCCCTCCCTTGGCTCGCAGGTGACAATCCGGGCTTCCCGAGGGCAGCCACGCACTGTTCCTGTTTCCTCCAATGATGCACCTCCCAGCACCTTGCAGGAGGCAACACCCCTGACCTCCTCAACGGACCCTCTGCCTGTCTTCCTTTATCCCCCTGTCCGGCGCAATATCCAGAAGAGAGCTGTTAGGAAAATGTCAGTACCTTCTGGAGGCTGGGGGCCGGGTGGGCACGACTATTCCTATAGCCAGTGTAATCTACTAGCCTTTTTAGCAGGATCTGTTGTCTGAAGCCCCCACAATTTGAGGACTCCTGGGGCGATAACAGGAATTTTCTTTGTTTCTCGACAGGAGTGTTATGGGTCGGCAGACATGCCTGGAGTGCAGCTTTGAGATTCCGGATTTCCCTAATCATTTCCCTACTTACGTTCACTGCTCTCTGTGTCGCTATAGCACCTGCTGCTCTCGAGCCTATGCCAACCATATGATCAAGTAAGTCTGGGTTAAACCAGTGATCTTATCTCCAAAGTCTCCAGAACTCATTTCATTCCCTCCTTCAGCTCTTAGAGCTGTCTGTCCATCTCTCCTAGCAGGATGAGTCAAACCCATGTTCATTTGACTTTGATGGTCTGTGCTCTGATTCTGTAGGATTTTGTTACTCAGAGTGTGGCCCAAACACCAGCAGCAATGGATGGGAGCTTGTTGGAAATTCAGCCCCTCCTCCCCAACCCCAGGCTATTGAGTCAGAATGTGTGTTTTAATAGCTCTTCTGGTGATTCATATGCATATTAATAGGGAATACTAATATGGTAGGAAAACTGGCTTAGGTTGAGGTGAGGATGGATTAAAGTGGCATCTCTTTTGTTGGGGCATTGTCAGAAACTGGTGATCTCTTGTTTAATGATCAGAACCCCCTAACTCATGCTGTTTTTTCTTTGTCTTTCTCAGCAATCATGTTCCACGCAAGAGCCCCAAGTATTTGGCTTTGTTTAAAAATTCTGTGAGGTAAGGAAAAGCTTAGTGATGGTCTCTTAATTTTTCACATTCTTACATTAAATCCTTTTAATTAACTTGGGGGAGGTACGTGAATTAATTTGAGAAAGAGGAGAAAGGATATTCTCTTTTCTTTATTAGGCCTCAGATTTTATCCCTAGTGTCATTGATATATTTGTTTTATATACTCTTGATTCTTTTTCTTAGTGGTATCAAGCTGGCTTGCACTTCATGTACCTTTGTTACCTCTGTGGGAGATGCCATGGCCAAGCATTTGGTATTCAACCCCTCTCACAGATCCAGCAGCATCCTGCCACGGGGTAAGTAGTAGAGATGGGAGTTAGTGGGACAACAGAAAAAGAAAATAAGGATATAAGTTCTACCATATGAGTCAGGAGCCTCTCTACCTAGGCTAGCTTATCTGGTGTTCAGATAGACATCACCAAATTGGAAGCATTCCAGCCTGACATTTATATAAGACTGGAGGGTTTATTTCTTCTCTGAGTTAACATTTTATTGTCTCATTTTCTATAGGACTCACTTGGATGTCTCACTCAAGGTAACAGAAACTCACTTCATGGTTTAATTTCTATTTTCAGTGTGTTTGATCTTTTTTTTATTATTATCACTGCTATTATTAGTATTTCATTTTCCTGGTTTAACTGAGCTTTCTTTTCAACCCTTTAGACATGGCCACATTCGTGACCGAGTGCATGACCGGAGCTTGAAGAATATATATACTCCTCCTACCTTCCCCTCTAATAAAACTGCCACTGTGAAATCTGCGGGGGCCACCCTAGCTGAGCCTGAAGAGCTTGCAACTCCTATGGCCCAAGCACTCCCATCACCAGCCTCAACCGCAACCCCACCACCAACCCCAACTCACCCCCAGCCTTTAGCCCTTCTGCCCTTGGCCGCAGAGGGGGCCGAATGTCTGAATGTCGATGACCAGGATGAAGGGAGCCCAGTTATGCAGGAGCCTGAGCAGGCAATAGGGGGCAGTAGTGGCAGTGGGGTTGGTAAGAAGGAGCAGCTGTCTGTGAAGAAGCTTCGAGTGGTACTGTTTGCCCTGTGCTGCAATACGGAACAGGCTGCTGAACACTTCCGAAATCCCCAGCGACGGATCCGGCGTTGGCTTCGGCGCTTCCAGGCCTCCCAGGGGGAGAATCTGGAGGGCAAATATCTGAGCTTAGAGGCAGAAGAGAAGCTGGCTGAGTGGGTGCTAACCCAGAGAGAGCAACAGCTACCTGTGAATGAGGAGACCTTGTTCCAGAAGGCCACCAAAATAGGACGTTCTTTGGAGGGGGGGTTTAAGATCTCTTACGAGTGGGCTGTGCGTTTCATGCTCCGGCACCACCTGACTCCCCATGCCCGGCGCGCCGTGGCCCACACCCTACCTAAGGATGTGGCGGAGAATGCAGGACTCTTCATTGAATTCGTACAGCGACAGATTCACAACCAGGACTTACCCTTGTCCATGATTGTGGCGATTGATGAGATCTCCTTGTTTCTAGATACAGAGGTGCTGAGCAGTGATGACCGTAAGGAGAATGCCCTGCAGACAGTGGGCACAGGGGAACCGTGGTGTGATGTGGTGCTGGCCATTCTGGCAGATGGCACTGTCCTCCCCACCCTGGTTTTCTACCGAGGACAAATGGATCAGCCTGCTAACGTGCCAGACTCTATCTTGCTAGAGGCGAAGGAGAGTGGCTACAGTGATGATGAGATCATGGAGCTGTGGTCCGCCCGAGTGTGGCAGAAGCACACCGCGTGCCAGCGCAGCAAAGGCATGCTTGTGATGGACTGTCATCGCACTCACTTGTCAGAAGAGGTGCTGGCTATGCTTAGTGCCTCTAGCACCTTGCCTGCAGTGGTCCCCGCGGGCTGTAGCTCCAAAATCCAGCCGTTAGATGTATGCATCAAACGAACTGTCAAGAACTTCCTACACAAAAAGTGGAAGGAGCAGGCTCGGGAAATGGCAGATACTGCGTGTGATTCTGACGTCCTGCTTCAGCTGGTGCTGGTCTGGCTGGCTGAAGTGCTGGGTGTCATTGGGGACTGTCCAGAGCTGGTGCAACGGTCCTTCCTTGTGGCTAGTGTTCTGCCTGGCCCTGATGGCAACATTAACTCACCCACGAGAAATGCTGACATGCAGGAGGAGCTCATTGCCTCCCTCGAGGAGCAGCTGAAGCTGAGTGGGGAACAGTCTGAGGAGCCCTCAGCTTCCACTCCCCGACCCAGGTCATCTCCTGAAGAGACAATTGAGCCTGAAAGCCTTCACCAGCTCTTTGAGGGTGAAAGTGAGACCGAGTCCTTTTATGGCTTTGAAGAAGCTGACCTAGATCTGATGGAGATTTGAGTGTTGGCATCATGAGCGGGTGTGGAGTGGGGGTGGGAAAGTGTGAAGCGGGGGTAGAGGGACTTAGGGAAAGGGGGATATGCCAGGTTGGGTATTTGGTTTATATTTTTTAATTTTATGCCACCACTCCCCCCAATGTTGACTCTGTTTCCCTGTGGATTTGTGGATTATTAGGAATACCAGTAGTGATCCCGTCTGAGCCAAGGAGCTGGCCCACTGGTCATTCACTTCTGCTAAAAACAGGTTTTCGTGACCTTTTTCTTTTTCTTTTTTTTTTTTTTTAAATTTAAATCACTGTGTTTGGTATTTTTCTGACAAAATCAAGAAAAAGAAAAAAAATTCTTCGTGGACGAATGTTAAATTTTTTGTTTCCCCTTTTACCTCAACTGTATCATAGTACATTTGGTTTTTTTGTTCGTTTTACTGTGTGGCAATGTCTTTGGGCATGATGCTATCCAACCATTGTCAATGTGAGAACATTTCTGAAGATGGGAAAGACGAAAATATGTAGCTCACAAACTGGTTTATTATATATATGGATAAAAAAAAAACTTTTTTCATTGTGGTCTTAACACTTTTATATAAAAATGAAAATGGAAAAAAAAAAAATCCCACCGAACTCTCTCTTCCTTTTCCTTTGTTTCCTTCCCTCTCCAGAGATGTTGGTTTCTACAGCAACTCTGAGATATTAAATTTTGGCTTTAAAAATGCATGAAACCACCTCTCATCCAGATGATGAATTAGATTTGTTTTTCCTCACCACCCTCCCTCCAACAAAAACATGACAAAACCAATATTCTTTGCACTTGGAATCTTAGCCCCTTTTCCCATGCTCACACCATCACTCTGGACAAAGGATCATACATGTGTCATTAGCAAGCAAGAGGTACTGAGGTGATTACAGCATTAGGGTGGAAGCCATTCCCAGTGTATGGGTCTTCATCATGTTAAGTGGACAGTATGCCTGTTCAAGAGATCACATGTCCTACAGCCAGGAGATAATTGTGCAAGAAGTTAAGTGTTGAACTTTAAAAACAAGACAGACCACTTGTTGAAATCCTGCTTACCCTGTGGCTTTCCTTATTTCTTTTAATGCTTAGAGAAGATTGTGACCTGAAGAAGAAACACACAGGGGTGTGCACAAAGAAAAAGACATGAATCTTTATTTTTCACTGCCAGCTTCAAGGAAAGAAAGTTTTTCTACAGTTTGCATGAGGGATTTTTTTTAACTGTATGTACTCATGGTTATAAACTGAAATGTACTGTATCATACATAGAAAAGGAACAAAAACCCAAGTCCAGCTTTCCCACAGCTACACCTGTCCATCCCAAGGCTTTCAGCAACATGTCCCTCCTGGGAGCCAAGGAGGCAGCCTGCATAGGCTTGTAAATGGTTCATCTTTAAAATGTACATAAATGGAACATTTAATAAAATGAGGGGAAATGGATTTATAAACAATGTGTTTTTTTTCTAGGTAACCCTATTTTAGTAGGCTTTTCACAGACTGGGACATGCTCAAGATGTGATGGGCCTGGTGGTACAGGTGTGACATTTGTTACCACCTGTTTCTCCTCACCTCCCATTTTTTTGGTTTTTTAACCCCCAGAACACTATAATATAGTGAACTGGAGTGATCCTGCCCATAAACAGCTTGGCCAACTTCATGAACCCATGGCATCTGAAAAGTGAACTGAGGATCCATCTTCTCTTGGGCTTCTCTTCCCCAGCTTTTTGCCGATGCCATTTTGACAGTATGGACTTTGAAGTCAACCCTTTGCCTTTGAAAGTTCAAGAACTATGGTCAACTGTCTACAATGACCTAATCCTCCTCTTTGGTAGTCTCCACAGCAGCCCCAGCCTCAGCCGAGCTGGGTTCCTGTCCTCTGCATACTGTATGACTTTCTTGATGGGTAATTTTTTTAAGACCATAACACCAACGGTGGATCAGCTGGGTTTTGGCCAGGAAGTTATCTTTGTGGATTCCGCCCGCATGGCTTAGTAGTAGAAGGAAGTTTTTTTTGTTTTTTTTATAATTCAGTTTAATCAATAAACAAGTATTTATTGACTACTTTCTGTGTTGAGACTGAGTATGTGAAGACTGAAATAGAAAACTCATGATTTCTTTTTACTTTTCCACTTACTAGTTTGTTGTAACATGGATGATAAAATGGAGGGATATTTTGATCTGTTCGCTCACCTCACTGAACTTCTGCAGTAGTTTCAGTTTGCTGCCTATACTAGTTTCTCAAAGCAGTTTAGAGAGGATACGTATCAGATTCACCTAGAGTGTTCATTTTTAAAATTCAGGTTTAACACCATCTGGGGAGAATTTGGCTAACACCCCAAAGGATTTGACTCACAGCTAAACTTAGGACTTTAAATGAACACATAATTTTAAGACTTTATGGTACTAGATTTGAACAGTAAACATTTAAGTTAAATGTTCAAGATACTTAGTATTCCATCTATTAAGGGTGAAGAGGGTGGCATGGGTGAGAGATTGAAGCTGTCAGGTCCTGCTTAGGAATCACCTTACCCACAGCAGCTTTATTAGATGCTACATTTCTATCTCTGAAATGGTGTTTTAACTAAAATCACATTTGCAGCCAACATTAAACCAGAAAATCTTTAAGAATCTAGCACTTGGATGGAAATGTTTAATAAGAAAAATGTTAAGCACTTTGTTATCCCACAAAGATTAAGCCTGGGCTCTATACAAAACTTTTCTAGAGTGGTGGTTCTCCTATACTGCCATGCAGAAAATCCTGCAAGAGCCAAAGGTTCTCTGAGCAGGGAGGAAGATGGCATGTGGCAGTACTTCACACCTTCACTCCAGGTGTGACCTAGTCAGACAGTAAAACCACTCAGCAAGCGTTTCAAAGGATTTATTTATTTTACAATAGAAAAGTGTATCTTTGAACCAGCCAAGTTCAAAGTTAGAAGAAGAGTACAACTGCAATTCTGGATAATGCATCTGTATTTCATTCAAAACCACTAAAAAGGAAGAGAGCATAATAAAATTGTGAAGCCATCGGGGAGGAATTAATTCCTATAAGCAATTCTACCCTCCTACCAAAATCCTCTCCACCCAAAGAATTCTTTTGGTTGAGAGCTCCAGAAAAACCCAGCTTAGTGCCAGCCAAGGGGCCTCCCAACTGTTCTACCACTTATTTTTAATTCTGTAATTTTAATTTCAATCACCTGATCATGTGAGCAATTTCCCAGTTAGTCTCTGCAGACAGTGGTCCCTCGATTTCAACACCTTTTTCGGTGACAGTGGCAATTTGAAACTGAAAGAAAGAGCTCCCAATGAAAATGCCCACCCCCACCCCCATGAAGAAGTCCCTGAGGGCTGCTCAAAGATCAAGTAGGGGATCTTCCCCTAATCTGAAATTTGGCAATCAGTTCTTCAAAAGCAAAGATCCAGGTACTGCAACTATCAAGGGCCCACCAGTTAGAGTCCCCTTATCTTTATTACTCATATCCCTCCTCACCCGGTTATAAGAACGGGCATCTCGATAATACAGCACTCGCATGCAGCGTTCCACTAGCTCTCGGGCCTCACTCTGGCTCAGGACTGGCTGCTTTTCCAGAACTTCTCGCAGCAGAGGCTAGGGAAGTGGGAAATGGGAAAAACACAGGAGATACCAGGGGCTGAATACCCGTCGGTTCCAAATCCACAGCATAAATGATTTTTTAAAAAGGAAAAAAAAAGGGACAGTCCACCTACGTGTCACCAGAATGAATTCTGCTTACCTGTGCTAACACCGATTTAAAGGGTAAATTCTAGGGCATCCCTCTTTACACAAGTCTACTAAATATCTGACATACCATTTTGTCTCTGGAATGTAAGTGCCAATACATACAGCCTCCAGACTACAAAGAAAGCCATCTGCCCAGCAGCAGGGATCCTAGCCTGGTCCTCATGTTGGAATTTCAAGGGAAGAACAAGCAGACAACAACTAGTCCCCAGTGCCTTGTCGTCCCTCCCCTCTCACACACCTACCTGAGCCAAGTATGCACCATAACCAGTGGCCAGTGAAGGGGCTTCATAAGCTACACCAAGCATGTCCACATAGCCGAGGAAGCTAACAGGACACAAGAGGTCAAAGAATTCATTTCATCTTAGGTTTTCTTAGGTATCTTAGCTGAAAGATGGGCCACGGGGTCTAAGAAGTGGCATTCACTCAGAAGGAAGAGATAGAATATTACATGGACACTAGAGGTTGGGTAGTCAGGGAAATTAAGTTATTTCAAGTCAACCTCTCTCCATCAGCATAGCCTCCAATGACCATGGTGTTCCACAGCGGGTTCATCTTGGAGCGGCGGCTGTACATGGCCCTGGTCAGCCATGAATGAATAGCTCTAGGACTATAGCTGTGTCCATCTCCCAACAGCTCCTCATCAATCCTTAAAAGGAATTGGTTATGAGAAAAGGGAAAGAATGTAAGTCAGGAATTCCATCCACCCCCCTCCACACCAAAAGAAGTTACCACAATCTTCCCCATTTTACACCCCCTAATGCCGAAAACTATGTATTGCAAACTCTCTTCTTCCACCCCCAACAATTTTCCTGTCCTCTAATGCAGCCTCAAACTCCTCCACTCTAGAACTTTTTTTTTTTTAAGATTTTATTCATTTATTTGTCAGAGAGAGAGGGAGAGAGAGCGAGCACAGGCAGACAGAATGGCAGGCAGAGGCAGAGGGAGAAGCAGGCTCCCCGCCGAGCAAGGAGCCCGATGTGGGACTCGATCCCAGAACTCTGGGATCATGACCTGAGCCGAAGGCAGCTGCCCAACCAACTGAGCCACCCAGGCGTCCCCACTCTAGAACTTCTAAGGGGATTTAAAAACAACAACAACAACAACAACAACAACAAACCCAAACAGTGAATTCGTCTCCCCATCTGGAATCTATTCCCTATTCTCCAGATAACTTACACCATCTGGCCGAGAACTTGCTTCAAATACTGGAAATCTGCATAGTCTCCGGAAGCACCCAGCATGGTGCTGTCGTTGACTCTCATAATGCGAGAGATGTTGCGGAAACGAGCCAAGGAGCCGTAGGAGCCCAGCATGTCTGCGGCAATCACCACTCCACCCTCAAACTTAACGCCCAAGACCGAGGTCCCGGTCACCATGGGGTTCCTAGACAGAGAGAGGGAGTTCTGGCAAGGGTAGAAGCACGAGGTAGAGGGAAGAGCCTCAGCTCCCTTCCACGCAGTGAGTTCCGTTTCTGATTTTCTATGTGTCCTTTCATTCTCCGGGGCTCTCGGCCCTGGCGTCCCCGTCTCGCCTTCCCGGGTTTCCTCAGAACCGGCCGGCCAGACCAGGCCTCACCGTCCCGCCCCCTGTACAGGCTAAGACCCCGAACACTTACTGCGTGCGCGTAATCGAACCCCCGTAGGGCGAGGACGCCGGCTCCATGGAGGCACCAGGAGTAGGCGGGATGTGGTAAAACTGCCCCGGGGCCGGACCCCCGGCCCAAAGTCTTGACCGCGACTCCAAAAACGCTTCCATCTTAGTCACGGTGGCAGAAGAAATGCTAGCGCCTGGGCCAACGGAA